TCCTTTGTAGTGACACTGGTCAACTGTAATGAACAAAAGTTACCAACGCAACACTTACTGTAGACTGGTTGAAGACACTACAATCAAGGAATGCTTTATGAGCATAAATTAGTCCTGAACCACTAGATCAATGATGTCTAAAGGCAACAATTCAATAACTTTGACGCCTTGCTGAAACTCAAGAACGCGCTGGGTCTGGGCGACCCATGCTGACAGCATTGTACCTTGCCAGCAAATCAGTATACTCACCCTCCCGAAGCCGATTGCGAAGCAACCTCACCTTGAAATCATGAAAGCCAGCAAGACCAAAGGCAGCCCAAGGACCCTCCAAGTAGAGCTCACAAATCTCGCGGCGCACAGCAAGTACGCTCCACAACTTCAGGATGTTGATGTCCTCCTCTGACATATCTTCATGGGCAAAGCGGTTCCCAGGCACCACATTGATCTCAGAGCGCATCAACTGCGGGAGTGTCATGGATGGTGGCGCATTCCAGCTGCGCTTGGAACTCGAAGGCCGCTTCAGCGCCGCAGCTTTGGCCTTTGGGTCCAACCAAGACTTGGCGCTCTTGACCTTCTTGGGATGCAGCATTTTATTGCCAGCCTTGCTGAATTGCTTCTTGAACTGAGCCATGCTCTTCGGGGATGGCTTCTTCATACTCTTCATAGGCTTTGAGGGCTTCGAAGAGCAACTGCCGGCACTGGTTCCGCGTTTTGCCTTCACCTTTTTCATTGCCACTGACTTCATGGCAAGCTTCTTAGCAAAAGAGCTTTGCTTTGGCATGGTTCTACGATCCTACTCGAAAGAACTACAGCAAGAACAACGCACGATCTCAATCCAGCTACAGAGCCAGCGCCACAATTTTGGCAATGAAGCCATGCAAGAACATTCAAAAAGAACGTGGCAGTTGATCAGCAAGAGCAACAACCAAACAGAAGAACATGACTCAATAACTAGATCCAAACACATTATTACAGTCGACCAGCACAGACGAACATGATCTGCAAGAATTCAAAAGATCCAAACGCATAGCAGTTGGTCTTCAAGAACAAACAAATTCTTCTGTAAAAGCAAGACTCACTGTGCTCAAGAACAGTTACACTTTGATCAAGCAAGCAACACACAATGTTTGCAAGAATGTTTGCAAGAAAGAACATCAAGAAAGGCATCAACTGTGGTTGAACTTCACCGCAAGAAAAACAGCCCACTAGATTGTGTTATACGACAGATCATGGTGCTTCCATGCAAGAAAATGAAAGAGAGCTATATATGGCCGTATTGTATTTGATGCATCAGTTTAAAGACTTCCTTCTGGTTTTGTTTTCAGTGCAGTGCTGCAGTGCTGACATCGGATGCATCTCTTTTCACGCGCTCATCTCATCATATCGTACTTATGCTTCTCCATGGACAACGTGCCAACATCAACTTTTCTGATGTAGCAAAAACAGTCCACGGCCGGTCATCCGGGCTGTTATTGGTATTCCCTGACTAGAGGGTCCACATATGAATTACTACATTCAAGAAAATCAAAAAGACCTCCATCAATGCTCGCTTCAATCCTTAGGTTGACAATGCAAGAACAAACACAAGAACTCACAAGAACACAAAGCACAAGAACCCGCAAGAACTGTCTGAAAAAGTGCAATGAATCACATATATTGTCAAGAACTCAAGAACACATCAAGAACAGTTCATCAACAGTATTATCAAGAACATATTGCAATAAGCAAAAATGCAAGAGAAGTGCATGATTAAACTACAGATCAAAAACAGATCAAGATGCACATCCACAGCTTGGATGATCTGGCGATGACTCCTCCTCACCACGCTCACGCGGAGAGCCATCTGAACCAGCATACTCTGTCTCACCACCGGAGACAGCGCCCTGCATGGCCTCTCGCGGACGGAGCCACTCGGTGGGAGGTCGCGGGCCAAGCTCTCCCCACCGATTCATCGAAGCCACCGAAGCCACCTTCGGAACAGCTTTCACAGCAGGAGGAGCAACCATTGGCGCAACTTCTGGCACAACCGATGCTGATGGCTTGGCCATGAATCTCGGTGCCATGCTCGGCTTTGGTCTCGATGTCACGGAGGATGTGGGCGTCGGTACCGGAGGTTGTACCACATATTTGCCAACTGGATGACGCTCCGTGCCAACTGTAGTGGATACGAACATCTGTCGTGGAGGCTCCGGTGGAAATGGATAACCATGAGCTTGCGGCATCGACACCGAAGGGTGCTTTGGTCGGCTTCCATGTTTGGTCGCAGGATCGTAGCGTGGAGGTGCTGGACCGGCAATGTTGACTTTCAAAGCCCTCTTCGTAAGACCTGTAATGGTCTTGCCGCGAAGTGCAAGCTGGATCGCCACTGAATCAGCAGCGGAGCTCAGGTTGAAAAAAGGTATACATCTGGTCTGATGACCCCTGACCTGAGGCAAGAACATGATCGGCAAGACGCATCTCAAGCGCAAGAACTGACAAGAACACCAGGTGGCAAGAACAAAACATGTGGCAAGAGCTACAGGCGGCAAGAACAGGATATCCCCTTTGAGTGGCGCCTGTCAAGAACATGCAGCATCTCAGTTACAAAAAAATATCTCAAGAACATCACAAGTGCAAAGAAGCTGAATCTCTTGAATCACAGATGTTATATCAAAGCATCACCGTGTCAACTGCAACAAACTCTAGCAACGCAAGTGGCAAGAACATGGTGATATGTTCATCTCAAGAACATCACAGGTGGCCAGATCACGAAGCCTCTTTTAACGTCAAGCGTCTACCAATCTTGATATCATTCGGAATCGGCAAATCGTTGGCCGCCAAATAGTCATAGATCTCCTCAGTGGGTACATAAACAAATCGACTGTGGAGGAACTATTATGTTCAGCAAGAACTATGTTAAGCAAGAACATCGCAAGATTGACTGTGCAAAAGAACGCAGTTTCAAAATAAATCTCCACTGTACTTGACTAGAATCTTGCCGGGTGATACCCATCTTCCATCCACCAATATACAAGCGCTGAGGCTCAGCAGCCATTGCAAGAACAACAACTAGTAGAGGAAGCACACTAAACTCAAAAACCAAAACAAAGTATACATGTGCAAAATGTGAATGTACACATGGACTGTGCATTTGCAGCGCTTGGGCATTCAAATCTTGCAGTATTTCAATACATCCAAGCAAGAATCTTCAAAGCTGATTCCAAATGGTAAACTCAAGAACATCTCAAACGCACAGCTCAAATCTAGCAGCATTGCAAACACTTCACAGCAAGAAAGCAAGACATCAAAAACACATGTTTGCAAGAATGTTCGCATGTTCGGTGTACACTTCACAGCAAGAAAGCAAGACATCAAAAACACATGTTTGCAAGAATGTTCGCGTGTTCGGTGTACAAGAACCTGTGCAAGAACTTCTGGAACATAATCTGGGTGTGGCGTTTGCAAGATGCGCAAGAAATATATTTCCGCGAAAGCTTTTGTGCTAGCTTGAAACCAATGAAGCTGCCTCTACACTTACACATTTGCATACAAATCTACCACTCAATCCTCAAGAAGACCTTGTGCCTCAGCCTCTCGCACAGCAGCAGCACCAGCGGAACGGGCAGCATCCTTCGCAGTTTCGAGGTCAGCGCCTCCCTTGAGTTGTGCATTTTTTCCTTGTTGTAGGCCCTGCTGTGGACATTCTTCCGGAACATCAGCTTAGTGGGCGGTTCATCGCCTCGTTCATCGCCATCATCAGCATGACCAACTGCTCCTTCACCAGGAACTTCATTAGGCTCATGAGAGTTGGTTGGAGGGAGAGAGGATGGTGGACGCTTGATGGCTGGCCTCTTCATGGGCCCTGCCTTCGACTTTGGCACTGCCTTCTTTGGGATGTGGCCCTCTGCTTCGTAAAGCAACTTCTCATCTAGGTTCAACTTGCGCTTCACAGATGGGGGTCCCAACTCAAGTCGGCTCACGCGAAAGGATGCCGAACTTCCGGTGAATCTGCCCTGAGGCTCTGTTTTCGATGCATCGGGGCTGAAGCCAACAGAATTGGACGAAGTTGGACCTTTTGTAGGTGTAGCTGGGGCAGCATGTGTTAAAGGCTGAAGCTGATTGCTGCTGATCTTCTCAAATTCAGAGATGTCAAAGTCCTGTGCATCCTGGAGAGGGAGGGCGAGATCACTGCGAGAACCACCACCGTCTGCCGCCGCCCAAGCAGTGGCATCTTCTTCACCATCACTGACCCCTCCATCATAATCCGTTGGAAGGATCAATCGCTCCAACACAAGTTTGATCTTGTTGGAATCCGGGCTACCAATCCTCCTCAGAACTTGACAAGATCGAAACATCCCCATAGCGATTCGAATCAGGAGGTCCGAGTTGTCAATGAAGGATTTGTTCTCTCGCTCGGTTGTGTTTCTGACTTCACCAAGGTCAAGAAGCTTTTGCAAAGCTTCCCTGATTTTTTCCCTGCAAGTTTAGAGTTTGGGGCAATGGCAGCCAAGTCGTAGCAAAGGTTCGCCATTTTCACCATGTACTCTGGGTCTGGTTGAGACTTCCAGGTGAGCTTCACAAATTTTCCTGGAGAGATCAAAGCGTGCAGGTCACTAGTTTCTTTGTAGGTGAGGAAGTTTCTCAGGACGTTCTGAATGTCTCGGACTCCAGTGCTGCTGTCTGCGACCAATCGTGATTTGCCGGCACGTTCTTTCAGTTTTGTTTTGGCAGCATTGCTTTGCTGCTCCAAGGCAACATCTAGACTGGACATACTTGGTGCGGGGCACCAGACTAGACCAATACACTTGTGACTTGAACTTGAAACGCATTCCAAGTTCCACACAAGTTGCAAGAACCTATACCAACTAAAAACATGCAAGACCAAAAGCCTCAACAGCAAGACATGCATGCTGGACACTGCAATGCAAACTGCTACACAATGCCTTGAATGCTTTCGTTCTATGTCAACAAGACAAAACACGCAAGACCTGATGCCATCACAAATAGAGCTGAGATGCCATAACAAGTAGAGCTGCGCGCATAGAAAGCAGCAAGAGCAGCCAGAACTTTTTGCTTGATGTTGTAGTCGTTTTGTGAAACTGTGAAACAAAAAGGTCGGGACCAAAAGATCCATCAAAAGCAAGCGTTTCACAGCTCGCAGTTGTAGGGCCTATAGCGCAAGAACACATAAAGCAAGAACGTTTCAGGCAAGAACGATGCTGCGACATGAAGTTGTTTTGTGTGATTGTTTCACTGCGTGGTCGTTCTTTCGCACCGCAAAAACAAAAGAAGCAAAGGAAAACACAGAAACCAAATAAACAAAGACAACAATAAAGGAAAAGAAGACAGACACCAACAAAATAGTAAAGCAACCATAAAAAGAGAACATTATAGACACAAAAAGAAAGTGGAAGGAAGTGAGAAAGGAACAAGGAACAAAGGAAGAAAGGAGCAGCGACAGAAAGGAAAAGAAATGAAAAAAAAAACAAAGGATGCACAAGCAAAAGCAAGGAAGGAAGAAGAACGACGTAAGACGCGAAAAGGAAAAGGAAGAAAGGAGAAACGGCAGAAAGACAAAGAAAGAACAAGAGGAAAGACATTGAAAAATGAAGAAAGGCAAGGGCAAGGAAGGAAAAAATGGTACAACAGCAAGAAAGGGTGCAAATTAACGGATAAGGATAAGCAAAAGGAAAGGATAAGGAAAACATAAAGGGAAAGGAACAGCAAAGGGAAAGGAAAGGAAAAGGACAAAAGGACAGAAAAAGGAAGGAATGAAAAAAGAAAGAAAAGCAAAGATAAGAAAATAAAGTAAAGAAAGGCGCGCAGACAGAAGGAAATAAACAAACAAAAACAATCAAACAAACACACAAAAGCGCAAAACACATACGATCAGAAAAACCAGCAAGCCAACAAAACACAACAAACATCACCAAACAAATCAAAAAAAAAGCAACCAAGAAAACACCCAAACACCACAAACACAACAACTCCCACAACAAAACAACACAACAAAAAAAGCAACAAACAACTACAACACAAAAACCCAACTGTGCAAACTGCACTCTGAACTGTGCAATTTGCACTGTTCAAGTTTGAGCTCCAAAAACCAACTGTGCAATTTGCACTCTCCAGAGTGCAAATTGCACAGTTGTAGCCCGGACTAAATGATCATTTACTCTCGGAGAATTTAGTCGGGATCCGGACTAAATGATCATTTACTCTTTAGTCCCCGGACTAAATCCTTAGCGGAGTAAATTTAGACTCATTTGATCTATCAGGTGACGGATCGCGACAGCCAGAAAGGGATGATCGGCTTTTGCTGATTGGGAAGGGGCCCGACGGCCCGGCTGCTCGAACAATCACACCTGCTGAAGCGGCGAAGTTGTTGCACGGCAGGAGCTCGCGATATCAGGAGGAAGACAGACGCACCGCATGCGGAGACCCCAAGATGTTACTTGACGCGACCCCCAGAAAGCTGGCTGATGCGGCAGTGCACTGGGCAGCTCAACAACTCCTGGGGGAAAATCTCCCCGACAAAGTGGGAGTCTGTCGACTCGCCTGGGAGGAAGAGACTGAAAGGGTCCTGATGAAGTGGCTCCAAGACAATCCCAAGCAGGGATCAGTGGGGGGAAAACAGAAGAACAAGAACAAAGGTCTCCCTCTCCATGAGCAGGCAATGAAAGCCATGTGCTATGTGCTGATGCGTGCGGCGGGCACCGAGGAGTGCCCCATCAGCGAAGAAGGTTGGGTGAAATGGCAACAACTCGCCGCGCATCAGTCCTGCTGGGATGAACCGTGGGCTTATAACATTTGCTAGAACTTATGAGGTGTTATCAGTGTTATAACATTTACAGGTCCAAGTTATAACCACTTACAATCATGTACATTATTGCTAAATTCATAAGTGGTTATGGTATACAAAAAATAGTATTCAAAAGTCAAAACATGTGTATGTAAAAGTACTGATGTTTGTTTTTTTTATTCATACTAAGATGTATGCCAGACATACTATCCTGCATATATATGGGTTACAACCAAACACTACCTATAGTAAAAAAATATGATTTTTTTTAAAATATAACAACAAACTTTAGACAAAACAAAATCAGCAACTGCCAAATTGAAAACAAACATCCTGCAAATACTTTGCTGCACATTTTTACTGAACAACCACTTATAAAGTTTACCATGTCGCCCTTGCCATGTGCACAGGAAAACTTCAAAGGTGTATGTTGTAATTTTGTTCAACATCAAAACCAAAAACATACACAACATGTATTTCAAGCCATTTAGGCTTCATGAAAAGTTGTTTGTTCATTGCTCACATAAACTGAATTGTCATATTATTGTTTTCTCTACAAACATTTGCAAAGGTACTGTTATATGTCCTGCTAAACCCTTGCAGTTTTGCATGGGTCCAAGAAAGAGATGCTATACAGCAAACTAATTATGGATCTTCTGGAACTTGTGCTTGTTCATCATGCTCACCTTGTAGGACTTTCTCTTAAAGTTATTCTTCCTCTTGAGCAACTTGAGCATCTTGGCCTTCCACTTGCAGATGTGGTATTTCTTCTCTTCCAGTGTTGTCCAACCCCTCCTCCAAAAGGTGCTTGTCCAAATTCTCTCAAAGGTCTGCAGTGTCCCTGGACAAACCCATTGCTCAATCCAAACTTGAGGCATGCTATAGACAGGGCTTTGACAGATCCAAACTTGCTGCCATAAAATGTAGACAAACCATGCCCTGATCAGTAGCCACATGGCTTGATAAAGCACATTTGCTTGAACTATGCATGGACATGACATGTGCATGGCCTACATGACAAACACATGGCAAAGTTGAAAAGCCACATGGCTTGATAAAGCTCAGTTGCTTGAGTGCAAATATTTCATATATGCATGTGACCATGCATGGCACTATGCAAAACTTGTAGGCTGCTCCTATGGTTTCCCAATGACACAGGTTTTGAAGAACATATGTGGCGCATTGAGAGCACTGGTTTTATTCCATAGCATTTGGCAGTTATCTGAAATTGAATGGGATGATGACTTTGTACATAGAGTCTTTCCAGTGCATGAAGGAAAGACTGGTTGCGATGGAGGCTGTCTCAATAAATGTTGCATCATCTTTCTTCAAGCAAAGAGCACAGCAACTACTATCATCAATCTTCACTATGTCCCACATTGAGACCATGGATAAGACAATGTTCCCAATTTGCACATGAAGCCAAACTTGACAGATCTTCAAAGGCTTTGACTTTAGAGCGCAAGCATCCCCTTTGCAACACACTCCAGCAGGTGCCAAGTATGCTTGCAAGCAAGTGTAGGTTTCTACTTCATCTTCAATGGACAACTGTGTGTGGAGGAAGGCCAACAGTTTCTTGCTTGGCTGAGAACTCTTGACCAGCCTAGCTCTTTCACTGAACAATGTAGGATCCTTCAAGCACTCCATGTCATGGCAAATAATTTCAGAAGTGACTGAAAGCTCATATGATCTCAAGTTCTGGATGGATGATGCATATCCTGGGCTGTGGTCACAATTGAAATATACAAACATGACACTATCTAATGTGAAGAGTGTGACACAACTAAAAGCTTCATGCGAAAACATTGCCAAGCATCTCTTAATGACCTTGTGTTTTCTCTCTTGGACAAAACAAGATGGCAACATATTGTGCTTTGACAGGTGTTGTTGAAAGTGCAAGCACCAATGAAACTTGGTGTGCATGTATGGTTGCCACTCAGCCTTGATACACAAGTCAATGAAGCTTTGAATAGTTGTTCCAAGCAGAGTGGGTGTGATAATACCCAATGGCACAAGCTGAAGCATCTCCACAATGTCAGCCAATGCAAGATATGCTGTGCATTCATGCTCACACAAGCCTTTGGAAATCACAAAAGTCTGAAGGAAGTAAGCAAAAATAGGGCAAAGTCCAAGCGCCTCACTAGCTGTGCACTTGAAAGTGTTTGCTAGTTTGTTGGCTTTCTTTCTCTTGGGCTCAAACAACTTACCCAAATTGTCATTCCTTACAGCAGGCAGGTGCCATTTGGAAAGGATGTTTGCAATGACTTGGTAGACATCAGTGGCAAAAGCACCTTCCAAAGCTGACATCACCAAGTGCATGACAGTACAAAAAATGCAACTCACAAGAAAACAGTGCATCCAGTCATGCAGAAACTGGCTGATGGGCTCCAAAAGATGTTGGAGTGGTTGTGTATTCAATAAGGAATATTGATTGTATGTCATTCCCACTGCCTGTTGCCAAAGAACAAATTCCTGTGCTGACAACTCCACAGACTTCTCTTGCAGCCTCTTAGCTGTGTCAATGACA